GGAGTTTCAGGGTTGGGATACTCGCTCGCTATCGCGGACACACGGCGTCGAGCGACCGTACGAAATGACTGGAGTAACGAGACCCAGAGGTGCGCAATATCACTCGCGACGTCCGCATGCTTCTAGGCTGCTCGAGCGCACTCTTCCTGATGCGATTGAATAGTCTCTAAGTCAGCATCACGAAAGCCTGACTGTGCGCAGGCATGAGAATCAGCAAACTCAGGAGTTGTCAGTGGGTATCGTTACTCAGCCATGACCTTCCCAGCTGCGAGTCCAACGTAATACTGCTTCTCCTCGCTTGCCGTGAAATGGTATGATGGCATCGGAAACTCTATGTCACTGCGCAACGGCGGACGACTCAAGCGTTGAACATTGAACGGTTCACAATGTGAGTGGCTGTGTTATGGTTCGCGTTCATCCGCACATTGCACCTATACCTCCCGTCTACACGCATCGGCAGTGCGGTGTAGCTGACCGTCGCCTGTAACTTGCCAGTGGATCCCAAAGCACTTCTAGCCTCGTTCCTCAGGTTTGCGGTACAAGAAGTCGCGTGAGCGATGGACATAAGGGCGTTCTCGAAGATGCTCCTTATGCTCACTCCTGAGGCATGGATGATCAGTGCCCTTCCCTCGGCATATTGTGGTGCTTACGCCATGTGATCAACATCTGTCCAGGATGCTTTGAAAGACAACGTCTCCGAGTCGTCAACTGACATCCCGAGTCACTTGCGACTGGGGTCAATGTGAGAAGGCCGCCACATCCTCCTGTGAAACACCGCTCGAAGGGTGCTTCGTAACTGGATATCTAAAGTTGGATGCGTATCCAGCGATCTCACGAAGTACGTCTGGGCTTTTCCGCCCGAGATGGCCTCAGGGAAGCCATATGACCTATTGAAATTAGACATCGGGCAATCTCGAAAACCTCAAGGTGCGCAATTCCAGCCCGCATCGGCTTTGCACTGGCATGACTGATCATTTGAGGAGCGCTATTACGGAGATAGGTCGGGTCCTGGATGGCCTGACATTGGATGACGCAAGGCCTAGGCTCCCAGCTTCGATTCGTTGAGTTCATCTTCCCTACAGTCGATAAAGTGCTTCCGAAAGCGCTCTTAATTCCGCCCCAAGCTGGTGCCCTTCCGCTGCAATTCACCGCGCTCCTTGTATTCTAGAAACATAATACATATAGGAAGGGTCTCGAACTTGGCTGCAATGTGAGTCCGCGCGATCATTTACATAGGAGTAGCGTGATAATCCAATCCATAGTGTCATGCCAGGAATGAGAAGCATATCGACCTCGGCTGCGCAAGAACATGGCCCAAACAGTTCGCGAAGCTACGCCAACTTTCTGCACTCCAGCGAGTGGGCGATACCCATTGTGTGCGTTGTCGCACGCGAGATGTCGTCCTCCTGGCCTTTTCGAGCATAATCAGTCTAAACTGCGACCTGTCAATGTAAGCATGACCTGCCTACCTTCGGTGTCGCATCAACTGTTGCGCCTAACACAGTATGGGGTCTAGGCGGACGTTCCAGTCGTGCACATGGTTGACTGCCTTCAATCTGGTGAAGTAGTATTGAATACGCTGCAACAGTTGAGTAAAGGGGTATCACTCACTGTCTTAACAAGGCCGTCGTCGCTGGATCTATCTTGAAGCGGGCGACCGGTATATGTTTTCCACCGTCTCGGCGAGGGAATAGGCTTGTGAGGAGAGCAGCTAGCCATAGTAATCGCGCCCATTGCTGGTCAGTTTGCTATCGTTGGGTTGAGCTCGTGTTGTAGGTTCACTGCACTCACCTTTCCGCCTTCTTAAGGCTCCTAAGCACCTACATGTTGAGACATTCGGTGAGCAGCATCTAAGGCGGCTGTGTCTTTGGTGAGCATCCGGATATCCTAATCATAGGCGTAGGCTGTTGGGATGCAATACTCACGGCCAATGAGAAGAGCCATGTACAGGATCGTTCACTGATCGCCCTCATGGAGGTCGAAGGTCTGCAAGAAGGTCTGCAATGCTGTAAACATCAGGTGTGCGCAGTCACGGTTATGGTGGCGTTGCACTGGGCCACCGGCCGTAAGGCACGTTGCAGATATCTGACAACGCTGGCGCGTCATGAGAGTTCTGGCTGCTATAAGCGGCTTTGAATTTGAAGAAGGAAGCGGCGGATATCATCCGGATATCCAGGACCACTAATCAGCATTAATCGTGCTAGCCACGGGACTAGCCGGCCGATATCATGCATGGACCGAACGAATCCAGTAGCTGCCAATGCCGGCAGTCGCCGCCCAGATGGCTATCCTGAGTGAGAGTTCGAGCTATTGGCGCTGTCTTCCGTTGAATGTGAGGCCAGCTCGCAAGCCTTCATGATTGTCTAGGGCTTTGCCATGTGGAGACATAATATTCTATGCCATGCATCGTGGATGCTTGCCGCCTCGTGTCTACAGCACATGTCAGCCATGTAATGCCGGTGCCGTTACCTGTTATCGCACTATAACCTGAAGCGCATGCCGATCAGCCTATGTTCAACTTGAACTCTGTGATAGATGTACGACGTCAGTATCAGCATGGAAAACCGACTTACAAGATTTGTATCCAACTGAGTACTTACCACGATCGTACTAGTTCCGCGGCAGGCAGGAGAAATAGGACTGCTACAGCTGCCAAAGACCATACACAGCATACAATAATCGCCTATAGGTGCGCAGCTCAACAGCTGCAGCTTGAAGCCATTCGTTCGCATGGGAGACTAAGATACCAGGCTGGCCAGTTATCACAGTCTGCGTTACTGGCGATACCGGTCGAGCACTGGTCGCCGCCTATGGGTCCCTATGGGTCCCATCGCACCTCCAAGACCAAACGACCCCAATCGGGGTCAAACATCCAACACCTTGAACCTATTTTGAACAGGCTAAAGCAAACTTGACGAGTCGCCGCGCGCGGACTATTTGAAGGCGCTTAAATGAGGGCACGAGCCGCGGCCACTTGCGCGAGCCGCACATACGTACGGTATTGTCTACTACTGTCCAGTCAGGCGACTGAGAGATGATCTGGAAGGATCGTTTTGCTGGCAAGATGTGCGATAAGTAAAGCATATAACAGGGTAAAGCATACTAGACTACATGTATCAAGTAGCGAAAAGCTTGGAGAATAACTTAGATAGCGTAAGTCGTAAAGGACGTTATCAGGCATCGCCCACCCTACCGCGAGTCGTCCTGTACCTGATGCACTTCATGTCGAACTCGAAAGCCCACGACACGACGAGCTCGTCGCGGCCAGTGAAGACCACGCGTATGGGAATATTCTCCGACCGCCTACGTAACGTCAGTGCTGCATATATGCAGTGGTTCCGAAGTGAAAGACTCACGCGAAACCGTGCTGGGCGATGGTGCCTTGCCCCGCGAACGCCCTGCGCTTCGGCTCCGTGTCGGACAGCGGCAGCTGCACATTGGCGGCCCAGCTGCAAGTGCCTCGCGGTACGTTCATGTCGCCGGTGAGTTTCCACGCACGGATCATGCCCTCTCCAGCGTGGTGTTCCAGGAAGAGACACTCGGTTCCGTTCGGGCCGTAATCACCCAGCCAGATGCCTACGACGGAGTCCGGAGTCCATTGAGGGGAGGCGGGATCGCGGCCGGCCTGTGCCGGAAAGCGTACAGGATAGTAGCGCGGGACAATGTCCTCATAACCCGTGCCGTAGCCACATGTGGGGTTGTGCAGGTCGGGCAGGCGCACGTCGGATTCCTGGTTATAGGGTGGTGGAAAGAACGCGATAGAGGCTGGTTTCTCCACGCCGGGAACATAGTGCAAAGAACTCCGGCGATAGTACCATGTATCCTTTCTGTCTATGATCGCAGGCGGGCTCTCCTGCGAGAAAGGCGGCACGCCTCTGTCGGAGTCGTACCACGGCAAGGACGACACCATGTCCGGAGTACCAATCGGCTGACCCGGGCGGGTGCTGGAGGCGATTGTCATGTTCGATGGCGCGATGACATGGAATGAAGGCGTCGCGAGCCGCCCATCGCCGTCCATGCGCACCCACGGCGGCGGCATACCGTTGTGGACGAGGAAGCCGAGATTGCGCTCGGAGCGGATGTGCCAGCTGATCTGCACGTCGTTCGCGGTCTTGAGCGTGGACTTCTTCCAGGGCACGAACCCGATCTGCATGAACTCGATGTACTTCGGATGATGTGGGCGCTGGCCAGCCGCGTTCTTGTCAATGTGCGTGAACTCCCAGACCTCGCCGACGATGACCGGTTCGCCCCGGCGCAACCAGCGGTCGGGGACGATACGGAATTGGACAATGTTTCCTCGGAATGGGTAGTCGCTGCACCAGAGGCCGAGCAAGGGACCATACCGATGGAGGAGGCGGCCGTAGATGATCCGGAAGGAGCGCTTGCGGAACACGCCCGTGTCCGTTATGCCATACGGCGCGCAGAAGTGATACCAGGTAGAGTCGTCGTCGATTAGGGGGTAGTAGAGCTTGCGAGAGGAGCTCAAGAATTGCAGCACGTCAACCGCGGAGAGTCCGATGAAGATCTCTCGGAGAACGTCGTATGGGAGGTTTAGCACCGAGGGCATGACTTGACCGATCGCGGACCACTCCTGGCTGCCATCGGACACAGCGGGTTATGAAGAGGGATCCTTGAAGATGTGTCCTGGACTTGTGCTCACCTAACATCCAAGCCAAGTGAGGTGTCCGCGCTCTATCCTCACGGATCAAATTCGATTCCGCATATCATGAAAGACTGAACGGCATACCCTCGAAGTGCAAGTCGTGGGGAGTAGAAATGTGGCCGAGTGCGCGTTCAACACACCAAGCAAGATTTCGAGGGCATCGACAAGCAAGCGAGATCCGGGGTATCGTGGAGGTACGAGGAAGAGCAGGATGCCGTCTCCCGCGCGAGCAGTCTCTCCGAATATCTCAAATTGGTAGGTCCCACGTGCCCGCGTGCCAAGACAACTCAACTGACTGGATACCTTCCTGGATACCTTTCATTTTTAACCTCGCATTCCTTCGATAGCTCAGTTGGAAGAGCGCAGGACTGCAATTGGTTAAATTGGTTAATCAGACATGTCGCTGGTTCGATCCCGGCTCAAAGGATGTGGTTGAACTGTGATTTGTTTTTCGGCCGTTTTCCACGGGGCGTGACGCGCCAATTATTGGCCGGAGGGTGCGGCCGTGCGCAGTTCGTAGGTATCTGGCGTGTTAACGTCGAGAAGGCCTCCACCCATTGAGTATATATCGCGTTGACTCACCGTTGAGCTTTGCGACGAATATGTCTCACCGATGTCAGATTCCGAAAGGATCGAAGTAGAAGTCGGCATCTATGAAATAATGAATGAGCTGACGATCCGCTTATGAGCGTACCTTGTGGACGGGCACCTGGTGCTCCGCAATACCTTGTATCAACCAGTATTTATGATTGGCTACTTGTACGTCAACGTTCAGTGTGAACAGGAGACTAGGATGGCCATGGAGGAGCATGGAGGACGGAGGACGGAGGAGGGGGTTATGCCCTAATTGGGAGTGGCTATGCCACGTTCACTCGGCTCGCGCCGACACGCCACACCGAGTCTATCTGTCTTCCATAACCAACCACATCGATATCTAAACCACCCATCTGCTTGCACACTACATCTATCCGAGGTTGGTCGTGTTCGCGGGCATAGCTGAATATATCAAACATGACAAGCCTTCTCCAGGCTCAGTCGGTGTCCTCGTATGGCAGCCCGCAGTGGTATCAGTCGAATAGCTCGTCTTACCCTCTTCTCCGGCCCACAGTGCTCTCTGTGCGACGTGCGTGTCTTGCTTTCTTCTCCTTTGTATTTCATGCTCACGACCACGATGGACATATAGACAGCGAAGGCGGAGCTTGCCAAAGTCAAGCAGCACCGCCCGTTCGAACTTCAGACGATCAACATACAGGACCCGGGCCAGGAACGCTGGAAGCGCAAGTATGTCTACTGGATCCCGGCGCTGCACATCGAGGGCCGGGAGGTGGCGAAGGGGCGCTGGGACGCGCAGACGGTGAATCAGGCGTTGGATACGTGGGAGAGTTCGCCATGGACGCAGGCGGACTAGTCGGCCTCGCGGAGTACATCGAGGACGGCCCGCTCAGCGCGCCCCCGTGGTATCTTCGCCACCATGAAGAGGTTCTGGGCGACGTCGCTGAAGAGGGGGACGGGCTCTCATCGTACGTCCAACGCTGTTTCAACTGCGGAACGCCAGGCCACATCGTCTCCGCCTGTCCTCAACGCGTCGATCGCGACGTTGTCGCACTCTCAAGACAGATGTACAACTTCTATCATAAGTCTGGTACCGGACCGCTTCTGCGAATACACGAAGTGGCCGAGTGGCGCAACCGAAGGCTGCAATGGCTCGACGAATTCGAACCCGGCGAGATCAAGGGCTCTCTCCTGCGGGACGCTTTGGGACTGCGCGACGGCGATGTTGGAGAGCGAGTCCCTTGGCTGCCAAAGATATCCTCTTGGGGCTATCCTCCTGGTTGGATCAGCTCAAACGATCCTCGCAAACACGTTTGGGAGCTTCTAACAGACGCTGACGGCGAATCCGACGAAGAGTGCGACTTCATGATCGTCTCAGGTGAAGGAGAGGAGCTGCTGAAGCTATCACCGGCGGCTGCAGCATCTGATGAGAGGGAAAGCCCGACCGAGGATGACACGCAGGTCGAACCCCTAAAGCGCTGGGCAACGTATCCAAACACGTACTTCTTGTGGTCTAAGCTCCCGATGTACCCATGGCTTCAATTCCAAGCGGGCATGGATGAACGCCCCTCTCCCTTTGGCGATTCGACGTTCTCGGCTGACCGCCAAGCTCTCTGGGAAAGCATCGTCGCTGGTGTCGCGCCGCCACAGCCCCCGTCTTTTCGTTCTTCCAACCATCCGCCGCCACCACCAGAGCCCGCCCCACCGCCTCCACCTGCGCCTCCTCCCCCGAGTTCAAGTCCACCGCCGCTACCTCCTTCGCATGACTGTGCACCCACCTACGCTCCTCTGCTTCCGCCATCTCTTCACGGGCAGGACAGCCACATCCCTAAGATAAACCCTTCAGACTGCGACCAGGACAGCGAAGAGGACATGGATCTCTCGGACTGATTGCACACATCACATACTATACAACTATTCACAGTCATGCATCTCACACTATCCATCTGTCCACAGCGAAGCACATCGCTCGCATCCTCACATTACCCAACACTAGTCTACATGTAAGATACAGTCCGTTCTACAGGCGATAGAGTTATAACGATACAGTGGTGTGCGAGACAAGTATCAGCGAGAGTCAGACATTCAATGTCCGGTGGTCGTGAGTCGTCGTGTCCGCCGCGAGGCCATCGCTTAGATGGCCGTGGCGCTGGACTTGAACGTGGGCTCTGGCGTGCCAGCACGAGAGCTATCAGAACGGGGCGGGGGCGGCGCGTAGCGGGGCAGGCTCTCGAGCGGCTTCGAGATCAAGAATCCTGTAGGACGGCCGTCAGCGTGTGCACGGGCGCGACTGAACGAGTACGGCGCACCTTTGAGACCTGCAGCCTTCTCGCCTTGACGGCCGAAACCGTGCCCCTTCTGGCCAAACTCCGCCGCCGGCTGGGCCCGGTCTCCGCCCTTGAACATGCTGTTCACGAACGACGCGGACGCGGGGCGCGCGAACGTCGGGCGCATGTCGCGGTGGCTCGGGAGCACGCCCTTCGCCTCCGCGCGCCAGGACATGATCGAGCGCTTCTCCTTGGCCTTCTCGCGGAAGACGAGGCCGAGGAGCATGTTGAGGCAGCCGAGCGCGAAGAGGAAGAAGGCGGCGACGAGCGTGAAGTCGTCGACGTGGTGCGAGAGCACGGTCGCGCCGATGAGGCACTGGAAGACGCCGAGCGCGCCGAGGCCGAACGTGGGCCCGAGCACGGGGAAGTAGCGGTCGAAGAAGGCGGCGGGCCAGCCGATCTCGGAGAGGATGAGCACGACGACTTGGAAGATGATGAACAGGCGGTTGACGACCGCCCAGAAGACGCCCGCGGGTTGGTTGGGGACCGTGCTACCTCTGTGGCGGCAGGTCAGAACGGTTAGCGGAAGAGTGCGAGAGAGGTACGCACTCGATGTAGTCGCAGTCCGTCATATCGGTATCCGGCGCCTTTATAGAGCGGTTGACCGCCTGGATGTCGTTGACGAGCACAAAGATGCCACTGGCAAAAACGAGCAGCATAGCAATAATGCTGAGGATGCGGACGCCGTTAAGGCCGATGAAGAAGTCTGGATGATACACATGTCAGTATCGAGCTTGGAAAACGCGATTCGACGGAGGGTTACTCACATGCACGAGGGGGGAGCATTGTGGCGATGTTACGAGACGGATAAAAAGTTTGAGCACGTCAAGAGTGGGTAGTAGACTTTATAGTCTTTGCGAAAAGCAGAGAGCGGCGAGGGCTGGAGAGCGTGAGGTAGTGTCAAGAGACTCTAGCAAGGGGTGTCCCAGCACCGGAGAGTGGAAGTCGTGAAGAGAGAGGAAAGAGCAGAGGAGAACCTATCCGGGAGGTTGCACCCTTCAAAATGCCCACCATAACCTTTATACAGGGTATAAACGCTCCGTGCCTCATTGTCCAAGCCGTTATTGTTCGCTGTCCCGCCCAAGCGAGAGACAATAGGCGTTGTCGCTTAACCACAACGACTGCCTATTGTGGCTGTGTTACGTAATTCGGCTGTTGCCCTCGCGGGCGCTTACTCTCCTGACTCTCCGGATAAGTTATTGCGCCGCGGCTTTATGTGTACTTGTGCCACGGTTCCTCAAGACAAGGGGACTATATAGATCGTATAGCAACGGGGAATACAGCATGTGGATATAGCCTACGACAACAACGATAATACATAATCAACAACATGACAACGTCGTAATTAGGATGCAAGAAAATGACCTAGCGTGCCATGCAGCGTTCCCAAGCGTAACGGAGTCCATCCAGGCTCCCGGAGAGTGATGAGGGTGAAGATCAAACAGAGTACGCGGGAGGGGCTTCACTGTCCTGTGCTGGGCCGGCGGTGGCGGCGCGCCCGGCGTCTTGGTGCACGAATGGCCCGCGCGAGGGATCGGTTTGCGACGCTGCCTGGGCCGGAAGTGAAGGAGCAGGGACCGACGCGAGCCCCGCTGGTGTGGGCGGTCGTCGGGGAACGTACATGCTCGAACCAGAAGCCTCCGAGCGCTCCGTGACTGTGGTGAGCCCTCTGTCTGGGTGGAAGTAGATCTGGCCTTTCTCCGAGGACGGCGGGAGCCCCAACGGCTGTGGCTGAACGGGAGCGTAGTTATTGACGACCTGAAGTGGTCGGTGCTGGTCGTAGCCGCCGGCGCCGGTGGTAGTGAGAGTGGAAACTGACGCGTTTGCGTTTGAGGGTGGGAGGCCGGAGTACGACTGCGCGCTCGGGTGTGTGCTGTAAGCGGACGGGGAGCTGAGGCTGGTCTGAGACGGGACAGGGCGCGGAGAGGCAGGAAGTCCCTTCCCGGGCACCGAGTAGAACTGTGCGGGTCGACTCGGAGGCGGTGGGGAAAGGGGAGGTCCACGGTAGGGGACGGGCGGCGGGCCCTCGGCACTGGGGGTCTGAGGGCCAGAGCTTGGGCCCGCACTGCTGAGCGCACCGTACGTGTACGGCCGCGGGTCGGCGTCGACGTCAAGTCCCGGCTTCTCTCCTCCGTTTTTACGTAGGACGTGCTTGGAGTGGTCATCGTTTACCGCTTCGTGGAGGAAGAGCTCGTCATCGAAGTCGTAGCGACGCTTCCTGCGACTGAGAACGCGATGATCAGTACTTTACATCGATATGAGATTCGTGGGGAAGACGCACAGTAGTAGCCATGCGAGAAGCGTGAGGACGATAGCTCCTACAACGCCCCCAACGGCACCTCCAACGATGGCGCTGGTGTCCGAGGATCCGGACGAGGACGGGGTGCCGGTAGGTACTAGTACACTGGTTTGTGTCTCCTCGACTGTGGTAAATGCGGTTGAAGTTCCTGAAGTGAAGATGACGGTGCCATCTGAGGTGAACGAGGATTGGAACGTGACGGTCGTCGCAACCGCAGTAGTGAGAACCACTGTGGTGGTGGATGTTGGG